ACCTAGCCTTCTCGGACAAGGGCGAAAAATCTCGGAGGGCCCGTGTGCAAGTTGCGCACGTTAAAGATCCCTTGGTGGTCTAAAATCGATAAGAGTAGCTTCGGCCGCCACCCGGGCAAAATTCAAAATTTCCTACCAACTGAAAATATTAGGTGTGTCCCACGCGCTCATATGACCTTATGCAGTTGCGAGCGCCGTAAAACACTTTACCAAAACAAACAAACAAAGGGAATGACATTTCTCTTCAGGGTGTGAGATCAACCGTTGACGCACTGTGCAAAATAGTTTAGATGTTAGTAGAAGAAAACGGAAAATCGTTGATTTCTCGAGACTGCTGTGAATGGGGAAAAGGCGTTTTGTCAGTGTACGGCAATATTGAACATTATGTAGTTTCCACAAACTTCCAACAGTTTCTTACGTCGTCTGCTCCGTCCTACAATTGTGCCCAGTTGGATTGACTACTCAACTTTCACGATTTTGACGCTATTCACAGCTATACGAATTTTCGTCTTACTTCTCTCAACCCATCGTAAAATTAATACATACATTATTATTTCAATGACCTTTTTATGCAGTTGTGAGCGCCGTAAAACCTCTACAACCTCTACGAAAACGGAAAAAAAATATTTTAAAATCCTTGTGCTGAGTGTTTCGTACTTGCTGATTACAAAACAAAGTGACAAGTGGAGCCAAAGAGAGTGACAAAACATCCCTCTAACTCCTATCTGTAACAAGTCTTCACTTCTATTCACACCGTGACGAATGAATGTTGAATAGAAGTGAAGACTTGTTATAGATAGGACTTGAGGAGAGGGACATGACTCTCAAAGCAAAGCGAATGTTTTTTTGTTGTTGTTTTTTTCTAAGAAATAAACAAAAGCAGCCTGTTGCAATACGTTCATTTCCCCAATTCGAAATTGGAAGTGTTATGATTGGCGATTTGAATAACTAGCTGAATGTTGATACAGCAGAAGTTACACATGGGCTTATCAAGAACATCAAAGAATCAAGCGGTTCGGCCATCAGAGTCTGATGAGACAGCCACAAAATCAACCAGGTGCACGAACATACAGCTCAAGAGCTGGGGCAGACAACGCAAAAATTTTGCCAGACAACGGCAAGAAGGTCCCCCAAAAGAACAACAAGCCACCCATCTTGCTCTTGACCGAGCATTGCACCTCTCCTCGACAATATAACGACACAAGAGGAAGGATAAAGTAGACCTAAGTAAACTAAGTGGATGGACTTCTAGATTGATATAAAACAAACAAATAAACAAACAAACAAAAATAAACAACCCACCCCCATAAATACAACCAAACCATTGCACACGGTATTTGAATAGTATGATAGAGTGATCTCAGGCTCCAATGTGTCGATGATCCCCCCCCCCTCCCTCCCCCACACAC